CTCCTCCGTCCACCTCCGCGGCTCCGAGTATTTGGCTTTTCGGGGGAGCCGACGCCAAGCAGAAACCCGAGTTCAAACAGGACGCCGGGTTCAGGACCCGCAGGGGTCCCGCCGCCAGCGATTGGCCACAGGGGGATCGGTCTCCGCGCTGGGTCCCCGCTGTTTTGAAAGCGATCGCTGGGGAGTGGGGACCCGGTCGAAGAACCCAGCCTTCAGCTACTGGCTCTCCCGTCTCCATGTTGTAAGCGCCAGGCGGTAAAAGGGGAAAACAGCAAGTTGCATTGGCCGGGAATCGAACCCGGGCCTCCCGCGTGGCAGGCGAGAATTCTACCACTGAACCACCAATGCTCCCGGAGGGGAGCCTTGCAGCATCTCCCTTCTCCCCGCCGGTACCTTTGGGTCCATCAGCAGCGGGGCCCAGACGCCCCTCTGTTCCCAGTCTAGGAGGGTGCCGGTCTGTTTCAAGGCGAAACTGTGCCAAGACTTGAAAACAGCGATTGCACTGCCGGTGCGAGCCCACCGCCTCTGCCGCCGACCCGCGACTCCCTGGCAGGCCGGCCGGACCCTCCCGCAGCTACGGCCCGGTGGCCCCGCAGCGGGGGCTGATCTAGCTTTGTTCATGATTAGGCAGGTGTTTGGGAAGAAGGTCACAGGGCGAGGGCCTGTCTCACCGCATCATGTCAGCGTTTGTGGAGTCTTCGTGACTCATCCAGAAGCAACGGGAGAGCCAGGCCGGGCCCTCGCTCTCGGGAAAGTCAGAGCACAGGGGCTTGGAGTCAGGTCAGGGGTGAGCCTGGGGTGAGCTGTCGCTGCCCGTGGCTCCCTGGTTGCAAGCCCGGTGGGTCCTTTGGGGCTAGGAGATGCCTTTGGGGGAGGAGGTGGGGGAGGAAGAGGGAAAGGGACGGCGCGGGCTGCCCCCAGCGGGAGAGCAGGCCCTGGTCCTTTGTCTTGAGGCTTTTCTTTCTCTCTTGCAGGCGGGAATCTTAGGGGAGGTCAGAGGGGAGGGTTCCAGCAGAACAGTCACCAGTGTTCCAGGTGGGCTCCTTCAGGGCCGTGGTCTCCACCAATGGGTCAGTGTCAGGGCAGGGGGTCGTCAGGCATCACAGCTGGTCCAGGTGCCGTCCTGGAGCTGAAATACAACTGAGGCCTAGCTGTCTGGCATCTCTAGGGAGGGGACCTTCTGCATCTGCTGTACATTGCTCTGCAGTTTGTTCAGCTCTCTGCCTCAGTTTCCCTGTTCCACCTGCCCTGGCTCACTGGCCTGTTTCATTTACCTCGATCATGTGGCGCAGGTCCAACTTGGCTTACAGTTTTCATTGTCTCCTGTGAGTGCACCACCGTCGTGTTCAGTTCACATTTTGTAATTTAACTATTTTAGCCTTTGTTCTAGGCACCGTGTAAGTGCTCAAATGATCCAGAGTAAAGGGGGCCTGGTGAGAAGAAGGGACAGAACAGTCCAGTTAAATGCCAACCTTCAGAAAGACAGATGAGATAGCCCCCTGCTAACCACACTCAACAAGCACATGGAGCCCCTGGAGGTCTTACAATGCGGTTCGGAGGTCTAAGGTCTGCATTGCTAATAAGCTCCCAGGCTACCTCACTAACAGCAACACCACCTCCACTGACTCCAAGCGGAGGAAGAGGTCGAAGGCCTTTCCCAAGATCAGAGTCTAGGAAATAACAGAGTGCAGTTGGCAGACTTTCACTAATCAACCCCAAGGCCTTCTGTCCTCACACTCAGGGACCACACGCACTCAACCTCTTCCGCTTGACACTCTCCCTCTTCCCCATCACCAGCTGCTCCCAAATCAGAAACTGGCTTCTTTGCCATCATCAAGAAAAAGCAGTTGAAATAAGCAACTCCATGACTGTACCTTTCCTCTCTGTGACTCTGCCCAACCCTATTTCACCTGGTGAGTTCTTTTCCTGATTTTGGTGACTCGGCAAACCTACTGAATTTGAATTGGTGGTGGGAGTGGGTCGGGGTTGGGAATCTGAGGCTTTGACACCACTGCCTGAGCACTGAAAAGTCTCAGGCCAATTACAGCAAACTGAGGGCTCTGTAACTGAGGGATCTGGGTTGAGGCCTTTTCTTTTTGTCAGAGGAGTCACTGCTATTGGCCTGCCCTAGTGTGCTTGGCGTATAGAAAAGGCTCGATGCACTGCTGTTGAAAAAAGAAATGAATAAAAAGATGGTGGTGTAGCTAAACGCCGGTACTCGAGTCTTCCCACAACCACATCAAAATTACAACTAAAATACAGAACCATCATTCAGAACCTCCTGAAATCTGGCTGAATGGAAGTCCTACAACTAGAGAAGTAAAGAAAGTACACTGAGACTGGTTGGAGGGGTGGAGGGGAAGAATGGGCTGGTCCGACAGCCATGTGTGGAGTTTTTTTTCGAGCAGGAGGGATATCTCAGCTGCAGAGGCCTCCTAGGGGAAGCAAGGAGTCCCAGCCCCACACCAGACCCCTGGCCCACGGCTCCAGAGCTGGGAAGTGATATCCCTGTAACTTTGGGCTGTAAAAACCAGCAGGTGCCGAAACCGGTTTGGCTCAGTGGATAGAGCGTCAGCCTGCGGACTGAAGGGTCCCAGGTTCGATTACGGTCAAGGGCATGTACCTGGGTTGCGGGCACATCCCCAGTAGGAGATGTGCAGGAGGCAGCTGATGGATGTTTCTAACTCTCTATCTCTCTCCCTTCCTCTCTGTAAAAAATCAATAAAATATATTTAAAAACAAAACCCAGCAGGGATTGTGGCTAAGTGACACAGAGGCTGCTGGAGCTCCAGGCAGTGCCTCTTAAAGGGAGAAACTGGATTGTCTGGCATCAGGATATAACTCAGGGTAATTTTCTCCCAGATGGGGGTGCTTGCTGGGATCATTGTTCATGAGCTGGGACCTCCCAGTCCCAGAGCTGACTGGCAGCCATATCTGAGTGGCCCCCACTGTTGGCTCTGTTGGCTCTGCCCTGGTGATTCCCTGAGATCCAGCCCTATCCAATTTACAGCCCCACCCAAGCTGTTTGCAGCAGCTTTTCCATGTGAATGGCCTGTACTAGCTCAGGCTTCAGACTTTAAAAATCCCTCAAGCAAGTAGCAGCTGGTATCAGTGTGACCCAAACCTATCAATAAGAGGCCCAAGACCTGGTACTAGCAGCAGCCTGCCTTGCTTCACAGGTGGGCCTCTCCTGAACACTTCCTAGCCCAATACAAGTAGCAGCCATCTGCAGATCGCTCTGTAGCTCCAGCTCAGTGGCCCCAGGCAGAGGCTGATTTTGCACCTTCGGGGGAGGGGTAGAGCCAGTACACCCAGTGGACAGCTTCAGATCATAGCTTACACCTGTACACATCCACAAGTGACACACTCAAAGGGAAGACTCAGTGAGCACCCAATCAGAAGAGCAAAAAGAAAAAAGAATCCAAAAATATGAAGATAGTGTAAGGACAACTTTAAGTGTATCAACATTCACATTATGGGGGTGCCAGAACAACAACAGAGAACAAGATATTGAAAACCTATTTGAAGTAATAATGACAGAAAACTTCCCCTACCTGATGAAAGAAATAGACTTACAAGTCCAGGAAGTTCAGAGAGTCCCAAACAAGAAGAACCCAATGAGGCCCATACCAAGGCACATCATAATTAAAATGCCAAGGGCTAAAGACAAAGAGAGAATCTTAAAAGCAACAAGAGAAAAACAGTTAGTTACCTACAAGGGAGTGTCCATATGACTGTCAGCTGATTTCTCAACAGAAACTTTGCAGGCCAGAAGGGAATGGCAAGAAATATTCAAAGTGATGAGTAGCAAGGACCTACAACCAAGATTACTCTACCCAGCAAAGCTATCATTTAGAATTGAAGGTAAGATAAAGAGTTTCCCAGACAAGAAAAAGCTAAAGGAGTTCATCATTACCAAACCAGTTTTACATGAAATGTTGAAGGGTATTCTTTAAGAAGAGGAAGAAGAAAAAAGATAAAATATATGAACAATAACATGGCAATAAATACAGATCTGTCAACAATTTAATCTAAAAATCAAAATAAACGAACAGGAAATCTAATGAACAAAATAAACTGATGAATAAAATAGACTCAGAGGCATGGAAATATGGAACAGACTTATGAATCTCAGAGGGAAGTGGGGAGGGGGAGGTGGGAAGAGATTAACCAAAGATCTTATATGCATATATGCATTATCTAGGGACACAGACAATAGGGTGGTGAAGGCCTTGGGTGGGGCGGGAGCCTGGTGAAAGGGGACAATGGGGAGCAAAGGCGGGACTCTCAAAAATAAAGATTTTTTTTAAAAAGAAATAAATATTACAGAAAAAAAGAGGAATAAGTAGGCACTGAGAAACTGGAGTCTAAAGAAAAGAAAAAGTGTTTTTCATACTCAGGGGTAGACCTTAGTCTCAACTGTTCCCTAATTTCATAGACCGGTCTCCTGCCTACAGAAGAAATACTAAGTTCCATATTTAAGTGCAGAACAACCTTCATCTTCGGAGGGAAAGAAAAGCTACCTTGTCAGGAGTGGGATTCGAACCCACGCCTCCAGGGGAGACTGCGACCTGAACGCAGCGCCTTAGACCGCTCGGCCATCCTGACGCTGTGAACATCGGCCTTTATTTAATTCTAAGGTTACATATCTTACAGCGCCGTGTCATGATGTCAGGTGACATCAGTGTGAAGTTTATGATTTTAAATAAAATAGAACTGTTCCTGGACTCCTTCGCCAAGCACGGCCAATAGAACTGCCTCCGACCCCCCCTGCTTCACCATCCTAAACTGCAAAGACCTATTTTCCCTGGCGCCTCTTCTCTGGCGGGCCGAGCCACGCCTGGTGGCCCCTTGCCGGCGGTCTCCCTCCACCCTCGTCTGAAATCGTGGTTAGGGTCCGACGCCGGTGGACCCGGTGCTGGGGCGCCACATGGCCGAGAGGACAGGAGGAGTGAGTACGGGATGCATTTTTCTCAAAGGACACCTCAGGGTCACGGACAAAACACGAATAAACAGGTGAGAAAGGTCCACGGCTTGCACTAGCTTCATGTACGGATTTCTGAAAAGACTGGCCCAAAGGCGTTGGTGGTATAGTGGTGAGCATAGCTGCCTTCCAAGCAGTTGACCCGGGTTCGATTCCCGGCCAACGCACACGTGTTTTTCTCCGCGCCACGAACAAACTGGGTGTATGAGCTCACTCCCTCCATCATCAAGTTTATGAAATCTAAGCACTGACCAAGTTATTCGGGTGAAAACAGAATGAAGTTTTGGTGTGTGTGTGTAGCACACATACTGGTGTGAAGACTAAGTATGAAAAGGAATCTGATTAATGTGTTCATATTAGTTACATGCTGAAATGATGTTTTGCACATATTGGGTTAAATAAGGTAGATTATGAAAATTATCACCTGCTTCTTCTGATTTTTTAATGTGACCATTGGGAAATTTAAATTTCTATCGGACTCCCATTACGTTTTAGTTGTGTCCCCCCTGCGGGCGGTCTCCCCTCCACCCTCCACCCTCCGACGCCCGTTCTAGACAGCAAATGTGCAACTTTGCCAGTAACTTGCATCTGTCACGAAACAAATTATTCCGGAAGCTTAGAAGTAGATTCCTAAGCAGTAATTTTGGGGGAACCAATGTGCTTCTCCTCGTTAGTATAGTGGTGAGTATCCCCGCCTGTCACGCGGGAGACCGGGGTTCGATTCCCCGACGGGGAGGCTGTGAAGTTTTTTTTCCACTCTCCCTCCAAGACTTTTGTCTACGTCCTCCCTTTGCTGAAACAAAAATTATTCTTGCAGAATGCTAGGTTTTCTGCAGAGTTCGTCTCGCCTGAGAATTTCTTGGATGACGGGCAACAGTTCTGGTGAGTGCGGTTTGACTCTGGTTCTGCGTGAAGTGCGTTGGATCACTAACACTGCAATCAAGTTTCCTCCTGATCCGCAGGCAGGCTACCTTCTCCGGTCCTCTTCCCTTCCCGCTGCCCCCCGACCTGCCTTCTCCCGCCCACCAGAGGAGAACCCAGGGTCCCAGCTCTGCCTTCAGCCCCAAACTCTAAATTCCCACCGTTCCTTTTTGTTCATCTTGCGCACCGATGTGCGGCGGTGGCAGCCGAGTCCCCTCCGTGACCACCCCGAAGGCGCGCCAACTGGTGAACCGGTCTCCCTACAACGCCTTTCTGTCTATTCCAGGCGGTACCGAGACGTGAGCGCGGGTCTGACCGAGACCTGCTTTTATCACCAACGAACAGGCTGCTTTTGCATTCAACTTCCCTGGGCTTCGGCTGCTGGTCTGCAATGTGACGGGGCCACCTCTAAGGTTTAGAGACCTTTGGCGGCCTTGAGTTCTCTGCAGTAATCCCTGCACTGGCTCCTGGCACATAGTATATGCTCATTTTTTAAAAGATGCCATTGTTCCTGGATATAATAGTAATGTATAGCCCTTGTAGACAATATGGAGAATAAACAGAAAGAAAAGCCAGCCATCTTTTTATTATCCAGGAAATCCTTATTAATATTTTGAGTATGTTTACTCCTGACATTTTGAAATGAGAAATTGGAATCATACTGTGTATATTTTTTAAACCTACTTGAGTGTTTACTTTAAAATGTGAATATTTCTATATTCTTTAAATAGTAGTCTAAAACATTATTTAAATGACTTCCTTGTGTTGTACCCTATGGCTACATAATAATTTCTTTAACAATTCTCCTCCTTTTGAACAGTTATGCAGTTCCAGTATTTTCCTGTCTCATCTGGGGTGGCAGCTCTCGGCCTTCTGGCTGTTACTTCCCCCTGACCCGCTGGAGTCTCTGCTCAGTCGGCACCCGGTTCCAGGGTCAGCCACAGACGTGAGAGCAGATGTACGTGCAGGCTCGGCTTTCCCGGACCAGGCGCTCGTCTCACTGGGCGGCGCAGGAGGCGCTAGACCGCAGGGCGGCGCAGGAGCGAGAAGGAGGCTCTGCATGGAGGCCTCGAGGGGCCTGGGACTCGGGTGACAGACAGACGGTGCTCCCGTGCCCAGTGAAGCGAAGACTCGGTGTGGCAAGTGCCTAGATACGCCCGGGGAAGGTGCTGGGACTCACGAACCCTGTGGCCTTGAAATGGCCCAGGGACAGACGGGCAGAAGCTTCTCTCCTCTGGGGGAGAGGGGGAGGGCACTGATCCGGAGCCCGGTTGATGATGTTGGAAAAGCGGCCTTTGCCCTCCGAGATTTGGGGATGTAACCTTGTGAAAGTCATTCAACCACCGGTCCTAACACGCCTGCAGAAACCTTTCAGAACCGCTGGGTGGAAGATGTTAGGCTCCCTTACTTAGGTTTTGTATTTTGCAGGACACAGTTGGTTGCCGGGGTTCATGTCCCAGCATCAAGAAGGGTTCAGGAATCTGAAAAAGGCTGTGCGCAGATGACATGGAAATCCAGAGACTAATAAAGAGTCCGGAGACGAGTTATAATTTTGAAAGGCATTGGGGGTCAGAGGACCTTCAGCTAAAGGAACT